GTACAAAAAAGGTGGGAGGGTATACCTCCATTTCCTGCCGCTTTCTTGGATACATCGTCGGCTTCTTGGACTCACCCGAAGTCAAGTTCCGAAAACTGGCCCTGGTTGACAGGCCTGCGGAACCTGGTGCAAACCACCTCCAAGCTCCACTGCCCGCGGCGCCTTTGGAGTTGGCCGAAGCTTGGGGCCAGTTGCGTTTTCGCCCCTTGGACAAGAAGGGGCAATATTTTCCAGTAGTGATGGATTCCCGTTAAAACCAACAGCGTAGGAAAAACAACTATTCCTTCAGCAAATACAAGGTGTTCGAAGGAAGCCACACATGTTCATCACCATGGGACCATGGCTCCCCGAGTCAGAGACCGAACAACACCGTGGATGGACGGAATCCTGCACCAGTTTGAAACCATGGGAAACCATATTGTTTCTTGGTATTTACAGGGAAGTCGCCATTACAGGGTTTCTTTTGGATTGCGCACATCAGTATGAGGCACGATCAAAACCTGGTACTGAAAGGGTCTGCCCAGTGTAGGGCGGATATCTGCACCTAAGGGGGAGGGGGGGGGTTCTGATTCTTGACACTTCCCCCTGCAACAAGGAAAAGCTGCTTGGTTCCCGCATGCTAATGCTCAGACGAAGGGGAGAAACCAAAAAACGGGGCGGACAAGCCCGGTCACCGGTCAGCGAAGTCTGGCAATGGGCCGTGGCTGGCCGAGTTGCCCAGCTGCCGCTTTCCATTGTCCGTCCACTTGGAGAAGCTATCCTCGTCCTCCGGACAGACGCAAAGCACAAGGCTCCCCAACGGCTTGTCTTCAAATTTTCGGGATCCCTAAAATTATGATCTTCCTATTTTTGGATTCCCCCTTTGACATACACCAAAAGGGGCGTGCCCCTTCCCTGAAACATCACTCCGAAAGGAAGCTCACTTTTGGCCCCAAAGATGCTTAAGACAGGGGAGATGTTGGAATTTTATTATATACACGGCCGAAAGGGAATTAGTCGGTGGGAATGTGTTTTTTTAGGCTGGATTTGCTTACATGCCCAAAGGACCTAGAAATAACAGGACCGCTACCAAAAAAATAAGGGAAACACAAAAGATTCAAAGGTCGGCTGTGAACAGCTGAGGTAGCGGGGGCTGGATTGCCTGCCACGGTTCATGTCGAATTCGCCAAGGGCATAGCTTGGGTGAGCAGCGGCCTACCGCGGGTCTTCCTCAACATAGGCGACCCGAACAAATCGTGGGGTGTTTCCTTGTGGTTGCCCAGGAGAAGCATCCAAAAAAGGGCGGGGTCATATGAGCCATAAGCCATGATTTTAGAAACCGCCGTTTTTGAAATTGAGACGTAAAGTCTCCCAAAAAAGATGCTCAGAACAAAAAAGGCAATAGCCTTTCTGAACTGCTTGGGTTGGGATCGACCTGGCGGAGTTCCCCGAACTCGTTCAAGAAGTTCATGCCAAATGGCAACGCGCTTGTAAATTGCCCACAAAGATCAGGGCTGGAGCCACCAAAAGCAAAGAAAAGATAAGAATAGAACCCATTGCTTCCAATGCTGATCTGTGAGTTGAGGTGTGGTTGGATCGCCATACCGATGATTCTGCCACTTTGAAGGGAATTGTCTTGGTATGTCAGAAAGAGACACCCACCATATTTTCCACTGTGTAAAACAGCAATATCCTATGTCCCTTTAAAGGGCGCCCAATTTGTTGGTGCTTTAATCCATGCTCGCCAAACCCGATTGGGAACCAAAAAACCATTTCTTCATGCTTTACGCTAGCAACCGTGGATCCACGGGAATGACTAGACTCACCCAACTTGTTAAGGGAGTGTCGTTGATTCCGCAAATATGCAAATGAGCCGTGAAATTCGTGCATTTGAACCATCTCAGGGCAGATGGAGATGCTGACCTTAGCCCAGATTTCAGGTGTTTCCCTCTAACCCGCCACGCAGAAGCTGACTTCCATCATAGTTAAAACCAAAGCGGCCAGTCAGATCTGCTACAAGTCCAACTTTCAGTGCCTTCGTGGAAACTGAAAACCCAAACCAACCGGAGAAAGAAAAAAGCAAAGACTAAGGGGGAGAAACTGCAAAAACCCTCCACGTAGCCATGAGAACACGATACAACCATGAGGAAAAAAAGGGGCGCATGCGAGTTTTTTGGCCGGTTGGCTTTAAAGGAAAAATCGGAACCCTTCCCACAAAAAAGTCGAAAAACAGTTGGCGGCATTTCCTCAGGGCCACGGGAGCCACGTTGGGACCTTGACTCGCCGACTCGCCGACTCGCACGTTTTCAGTCCGGAAGGCCCCCGTTTTCAGTCCTGCGTCAGCGGGGCCTCCGGAAGCACCACGATGTCCTGAACCCATCTGGTGGGTCAAAATCAAACCACGAGGAATCGGAGCGCAGGTTCTACAAACACAGGCGTCCATTTACCGGGGCAAGCCATTTTGGGGTTCTCCTATTTTTTGACAACCACAGCCATCTGATGGCTTCGTGCGGATTGTTGTTCCCCAAACATCAGGAGGGCTCCTTGAATAGGGGTTGGCTTCATGCGGAAGACGTCCCATTAAAACACAAGGAGGGCTCTGTCGGGTAGAAGGACATATTCTTTGCTTTTTTTGTTTTGCAGAGAGCGGGGTTTAATTCCACAACCAGCCCAAATAGGCTCCGGGGTGGTCCGGGGCGGGCCTGAAGTAAGGTTCCACGAGGGTTCCACCAGGGCCACCAGGGTTCCACGAGGGTCCAGGTTCTGCGAGTGCTGCGGGGTGGTGCGGGCACTAAAAAGAGCACCGCATGCTGTTGGGGATATCACCTGAGCTTATTAAACGCACTGGACATTAGTTCACTAGAAAGTGAACTAAATCGGCCGGCAAACTCATTCACAAGTTTGTGGAAAACCTCCCGAAGTCTGTAACGCCAACATGATTGTTTCGCGCGACTACTTTAATATGTTGAAATGGATTCCCTCGCTATCACAGAAAATGGCCCAAAAATCCAAGTTTGCCACAACCATGCTGCTAAAGGGAAATCCAGCTATCTTGACCACTTGTCGATATGCCTCGAAATTGTATGGCCATTTTGCGAGGGTTTGCGAATTTTTGCCGGAGATTCGCGGAAATTTGCGGGCGTTTTGCGGTCAAAATGGGTACGTGTTTTCTGCACCGCACAACTTTGGACCGCCGTTGCAGGTTTTGACAAACTTGCGGGCTGCATCAAGCCGTTTATCCCTCAAAGCTTCCTACAATCTGTCAAAGGCTGCGAGCAGTGCAATGGTGTGTTTTTTAGGAGTTTTAGGAGTTTCCGGTTTTTGCAGCAAAAAAAGTGCTACGATTTCCCGAGTATCCAGTCAAAGGCGGAAACTACGTTTTTTTTATTTTTTATTTTATTTATTTTGTTTTTTTTTCTTTTCCGGGAGGACGAAGGCCCAGGCGAATGCAATGTGTCTACTTGGCTTATTCGCCAGTTTGCTCAGCATCCAAAAGGAGCTTAAGCATTTGAGACAGGCCAGAGAACAAGTATGGGTGCGTCTCAAGGCAGGGGCCTCTCCTTGCTTTCACCCCAAAAAAATGGGTAGCCCCAAAGAAGACGCAATGCCATACTGTGGATGGATGCACCAAAGAAACCCTGGTATCTGATGATTCAACTGCAAATACCAACCAACATTGGCTTCAACCATGCTTTCAAAGTGGTGCAGGATTTTGTCCAGCCACAGTAGTATCATGATTCACCGACCTTGAAATAACACCCATCTAAGCCAGTGCTATCTATATCTGTGCAAAATAACCTCAAAAGGACACCTATGGACCTTTCACAAAAAAAAAAAGAAGGCTCCCCAAAAAACGAACCCTATGCCTTGAGCCAATGAAAAAGCTTCGGCCACATTTCGGAGCTTCAAAACCCCGTTGCCCCCCCCCCCCCCACGGCCCCAAGGGCCCCCCAAAACCCCCGCCTCGGGCTCGCAGAGCAGGTTCAGGCCCAGGCCCACCTTCTTGGCCGCCAGGGAATAGGCCTGCCGAAGTTCAGGTCCTCCAGATTTGGGAGCTTCGAATAAGGCTACCAACCTTTTGTTTTTCGGTTTTGTCTATTTTAGCAGGGGAACCCTCCCCAAAACAGATGTTGTTTTTCTTTTTCTGTAGTCTATTTTAGTAGGGGAACCCTCCCCAAAAAAAGGTAAAAAAAAGGGACCTAGTTCACTTCCCCCTTGTTTGGAGTGGTGGTTTGGTGGTTCAGCACGGGTCTCCCATTCACTCCCCACAAGAACCAGCGGTTCCCCAAACCACCAATCCAAACCACCAAGGGTTGCCTGAGACCTGGCACACCTCCACAGCCCGAACAGGGTGCCGTTAGAAGGATACAATGGGTGTCCTCGTTTTTGGAGACCCCTTTTGTGGTGTTTTTTTTGCAAAACCGAAAAAACACTTTCCTTCGTTTGGTGTTTTTTTTATGTTGCCGCGCCGCATCTAAACCGCCTGTACAAGAGGATCATCAAAACCAGCCGTGAAAGGTGACGCTCGAACTGTACCCCCTACTTGGAGGTCCGACCAGCTTCGTGGCCAATATCCAGTACATCGTGGGGCAAAACCATTGGATTGCTCCGAATATCCCAGAGAGGCATTTCCGTCATGTTCCTGTTCCTTCTCACCTAGTAGTCGTCACAAGCATTATTTGCATGTGAAGACAAATATCCAACAAATATTGGTAAAGAGAACGAACATCGTGTTTTTTGTTATCATCTAATTTATTTCATCATGCTTATTACTAGTATTACACTCTTCTACTGTTCTATATCTCTTGATCACATATTCATCCGCCGTTTCTTTTATTGATATTTCTCACCTCGTCGCTAATCCTTTCGTTGGCCCAACGCTTTTCTTTCGGCGCCGCCCGCACACCGTTTCCCTCTTGCGTTGGGTGGTGCCCAAGTGGCGAAGCACTCTGAGATGCTGTCCACTCCCAAACCACCCCAAGGAAAGGATCCAGTTTTGCCTCTTGGGCTGGGGGTAGTGGGTTTCCAATTTTTCTAAAGTGGCACTGCAGACACCCCGCCCGCCCTTTTCGCCTCCTTGCGAGAGGGGAGCTCGCCTGGCGCTGTCTGATTCGATTGTCGCGCGCACGAATCCCAATGGCTCGAGCGTCTAAGGGGACGGCTGGGAACCACCAAGATTATTATCAAAATCATCTGGTGACTTGTGTCGGATTTGAGGTGGTTGGTTCCCCATTCAAATTCATATGCCGCTTGCGAAAAACGATGCTGGCAACTTCAAAGCTCTAAAAAGAATCCGAGGGTACCATAGTTTTTGATGTTTGGGAATCAGTTCAAACTGACAGATAGCCATTTGCGTCAGGCCAGATCGTCCCTTTCCCGGCGTAACTTTCTCTTCAGATCAGCGCACACCTTTGAGGCTCTCTTTCTGTGACCATTACAACACTTGTGACTTGCAGCGCATGGACCTAAAGGCCACCCTTCCTGCCATTCACGTAGCACTTGCGGAAGGCCCCTGGAAGATCAGTTTTTTAACTCGAAGGATCCAGTCACAACCTCCTTCCCACTGGTAGCAAACAAATTGGATTCCAGAGGGGAAGCCGACAAAAAGGGAAGGGCGCAATCAGCAGATTTGAGCAACATGTTGGTTTTACGGCCATTTCGGCCGACTGATTGGTTCATCGGCACGTCAGACCCAAACATCTTAATATCTGAGTTAAGCTGCGTTCCGTTCATTAGAATCCGTGTGTCCACTGAAACATCGTCCTAGCCACACAAGCTTTCTCAGATTTCTTCCAACCAAAAGCTGCGGAGTCTGAAAGCTGGCCAGCATACAGTAAGAGAGTGATGTTATTTGAGGAGTGCAGAAAGGATGCTATGATGAGACGCGCTGTGAAGCAAGGCTATGCTGAGATGCGCTGCTGGACCGTGCAGAGCTGGACTGCGCGCGAGGCTCCGCAGAGGGCTGTAGGGCTGTAGAGCAAGGCTGTGCAGAGCTGCGCAGAGCTACGCTGGTCAGAGCTGGGCACAGAGCTGGGCTGTGCAGAGCTGGGCAATTCTGAGCTGTGAATGTCAGGCTGCGCAAGCAGAGCCGCCCTTGCTTGCAAACTTCGCGAACGCTTTCGGGAGCAAACTGTCGTGGCCGCTTTCCTTTGGGCTTGTTGCAAACCTAAACCACCCAACAGCAAAGCACCATCCCAAAACTTGGCGAACTGTTGCAACGCGCCAATGAACATAAGGTTTGGACCCCCTCGAGAAGTGACATCGATAGAATATTGGGGGCTCAATAGTGGCCAATAGTTTACTCCTATCGTCATGGCTAACTTTGGGTTCAAAGTACCCCGCTAGCTCATGTTTAGCATTTAGGCCCCTGTAGAGATTTGCCCAGACCGATTAAAGGGCCCCCCTGTGGCAACCCGCTCCATCTGATCTGGCAAGCTGCAGCTGTCCGGATCTCGCACCCGCACCGTCACCCGCTTGTCAAACTTGTGCTTGCCCTGAGCCAGGCTCCGGTCTTCAAGTTGTTGCGGTTTTACGACGCTTTCGCACATGTCTGGCACCCCGCGAAAGCGCACTTCAGGAAAGTGGTCCGTAACGTCCGGCACACCAAAAACAATGTGTTACTCAGTCCACGATACCAAGAATCTTGAACATGTGTGATGCGCTAGTGATGCTTTGCCAGAAGCCCGACATATCATATTGCAAGGCAACCAAGCCACAGAGCCATTGGACCATGGCAACCGGAAAAAACACAAAAAAACTGGAAGGGCTTCTTTGGGCCTTCCCAAACACGGGAGGGTTCTTGCTGGAGCGCTGGGAAGGCATGCATACGAGGCGAAACAAAGCGATGTGTTGCAACTTGCTTCGATTGCCACAAACACAAAGAGTCACGGACACTCAGCAATTTGGGGCAGGCTCAAATGAATGTTTACCATCACATCAATTTGTTTGTAGGAAAAAACTGGCCAAAACCACAGCCTCAAGCACACCTCTGTGCCAAATTCCCCAACTCAAGCAACCAGCACTTCTGGCCTGTGTTGAATCTGTCGCAACTGGTCATGGATACAGTAGACCGCGGGCGTTGTCAGTTTCGGCACGCGTATGTTTCCTGGTCACTGATATGATAGAACAACGGTACTGGTCGTTTTGGGCATGCGTGCGTTCCCTGATGGATACACTAGAACGGGGGCGTGATCATTTTTTGCATACGTATGTTCCCTGCTCGTGGATACAGCAGGACTGGGACAATATCATTTTGGGCATTCGTAGTTTCATCTTCTTTGGCACGTTGAAGAAGACAGAGACATGCCAGATGATAAATTCCCACAAGGGTATCAAGGTAGCGATGGTACACACTAAACAGACGAACCTGAATTCTTGACCTACGCTTCCAATTGGCGAAGACCCCTGGAAAGAATAAAAACATATTTCCGGTAGTGATAGATTCCTTTAAAACCAACCAGGGAAAATAAAACATATTCTTCAGCAAATGATGCAAACCACTGTGGTTGTGGGGTGCCCTCAAAATGCTTCCCATCTTCAGGGACCCTGAGGCGACTTAACGGCGAAAGTTGCTGCATTCCTTCAGGCGACCACGGGCCTTTGGGCGCTCCAGCGTCACATCCCCAAAAGCAACTTACATCCAAACTATGTGGGCGTGGGACAAAAAAAAAGAAGAAACGGTGCCCTCCCAACGACTAAGACGGAAGTGCACAGAGGTTCTGCAGAAAGACGACTTTCCTCTCGGAACTGAAACTTGTGCACTTCCATGTTTGGGGTCCCACCAAGCCGGATGGTCAACCAGTTGAATCCTCTTGGTCAACCTCCCGGGTTCGAAGGGGCCCCGAAAGCCGAAGCCCTTTCCGCGAAAGCCTTCTCGAATCCTTCTTTGGGCTTATGCTTTCGACTTGGTCCAACCTGATCTTGGGTTTTTGTTTAAAGCATCCTGGACATGGCCGCCACCCGCAGAATTTCCCGTGTTCCACCTTTGGAACACCCAAATGGAGCGGTTTAATCGCCCGAAACATAGGGATGTACAAGCATCGTACCTGCAGATCCTCCTGCATGCAAATCCACCAAGAATCTGGAAAATGCCTCACATGCCAGCACCTGAAAAAATAGACGGAAGGTGAGCGAGCAACTAACCTGAAACCTTCGTCTTCCGCATCTGCAGCATCCGGAAACCCGAAACTGCAAACAATGTGCCGTCTAACTTTTTGTGGGTCCAATACGGCAAACCCAAATGATTTCAACCAACAGGTGTCAAAGTCTAAATATATGTTACCCAATAGCAATCAAGATTCAGAACCCTGAAACATGGGGACTACCCAAAAAAATGCTGAGGAATTCTGAGTTGTTCACTCCTGGTGGGTTCAATGGACCCTTCATTTCAACCAAAAAGTGAAAGTCTCAAGATCCCTTAGCCAATACCAAGAGATATCGAAACAATTCTCAGCGATCCAAATTCCCAGTCTCACTTCCTGAGTGGATTGCCCCAAAAAGGTGGCCAAAATGGGAACCCAAAATAACAACTCCCTAGGAAAGGAACTTCTTAGACCAAAACGGCCCAAGCCTAAGACGTCCTCAAAGTCCGAAACGGACTTCACATGGCCCAGCTGCTGTGGGGTATAAATCTTAACTAGGGACCCGAGATGTTGAACATCATTTAGGTGGGGGTTAATGTCCACCAACCACTGTTCGGGGGGAGCCCCATTAAAAATAAGCTCAGGTGATATCCCCAACAGCATGTGGAACCCTGGTGGAACCCTGGTGGAACCCTTCAGCTGTTGGGCAAAAAGAGAACAAATAACTCCCAGAATCCTCGCGGAACGCCCCGGGACCATCCTTACCGCCGGTGTTGCTGAGGATGCCGCCTTGTAAAGCAAAGCTACGAGTGACAGCGCAATCTCGCCCTGATCGGGGCCCGACGGCGCAATCGGGGCCCGATCGGGGCCCGACGGCGCAATCGGGGCCCGATCGGGGCCCGACGGTGCAATCGGGGCGGGACCCGACGGAGCACCACCCATACTATAGCTCAACGCCGGTGACCCTTGGCATGTACAATTGACGGTGCCCGACGGCGCAATCGGGGCCCGATCGGGGCCCGACGGCGCAATCGGGGCCCGATCGGGGCCCGACGGTGCAATCGGGGCCCGATCGGGGCCCGACGGTGCAATCGGGGCCCGATCGGGCCCCGACGGTGCAATCGGGCCCCGATCGTCGCGTGGTGCAACCCCAGCCACCCATATTATAGCTCAACGCCGGTTTTCCTTAGTATGCGGATTGCAACTGTATCTATAGCAAAACTAGGCGATGCCAGCTTGGTACAATTGACGGGGCCCGACTGAGTCGGGCCCCGATCGGGGCGCGATGGCGCAATCGGGGCCGATCGGGCCCAAAGGCCCCGACAGTGCAATCGGGCCCCGACCTAGGCCCGGTGAACCTCGCAAACCGTTCTCACGCAACTTTCGTGGAGCTCAGCGTGAAACTTTGCTGGAACCTTTCCTCAGGGCTGCCCCATAGCTTTTGCAGAATTTGGTGTTTGACCTCATAGCCCTCGCAGCCTCGTGGAATTCTTGGAACCCAAAGCCCACCAAGCAGCAATGCCAAGCATTTACTCTGCTGCACCGTGAGTTCCGCAGCGACGTGATCTGATTTGCCACAAAGCCAACATTTGCCTGAGCAAGTGAGCAAGTCACAAAACAGTGAAAGTGCGCTAAAAACCCTTGATTTCGGTTTTGCTTAGTGTTCCGCCCATGAGCAAGCGATCTTGATCCGATGGCTTTTCAGACGGCGGGCGCACGACACACCCTTGGTGGAGCATTGTGGAGCCTTGTGGAACCCGCGTGGAATCCTTGCAGAGCTTTGTGGAACCCTGTGAAACCTCAGGGCCCACAGCCCTCGCAGAATCTTGTGGAACCCTGAAACCCTCATACAACCTTACCTCAAACCACCCCGGACCACCCCGCAGCCCGGGATCCTGCTAGAACTGTGCTGGAATGGAACCTTACCTTGCAAAACCTGGTGGAATTCTGGTGGCATTCTCATGGAACATTACCTCAAACCAGCCCGGACCGCTGGTGGAACCCTGGTGAAACCCTGGTGGAACCCGTGGAACCTTTCCCGGACCACGCCGCACCCTCGAAGAACTTGGTGGAACCCTGGTGGAACCCTCGTCCGGAGCACGACGGGCTGGTGGAACCCTGGTAAAAACCTGGTGGAACCCTCGTGGAACCTTACCTCAAACCACCTCGGACCACCCTGCAGCCCTCGCAGAACCTGTGAAACCCTGGCAGAACTCTGGTGGAAATCTGGTGTTCCCAGACCACCCCAGCCCTCGAAGAAATTACTGGAACCCTGGTGGAACCCTCGTGGAACCTTACCTCCAACCACCCCGGACCACCCTGCAGGCCTGATGGAACCCTCGTGGAACCACCCCGCAGCCTGGAACCCTGGTGGAACCCTGGCGGAACCCTCGTGAAACCTTCCTCAAACCCGCAGCCCTCGAAGAAATTGGTGGAACCCTGGTGGAACCCTCGTGGAACCTTGCCTCAAACCACCCCAGACCACCCCGCCCTTGCAGAACCTGGTGGAACCCTGGTGGAACCCTGGTGGAACCCTGGTGGAACCCTGGTGGAACCCTGGTGGAACCCTGGAACCGTGGTGGAACCCTGGTGGAACCCTGGTGGAACCCTGGTGGAACCCTGGTGGAACCCCTGGTGGAACCCTGGTGGAACCTTAGCTCAGGGTCGCCCCGAACCACCCCGGAGCCTATCTGGGCTGAGACCCCAAAGCTTTCAGCTGTTGGGGAAAAATAAAAAAAAATAAAATGACCTGATGTGGGGGGCTTCATCAATCTTGCCCCCCCAGGTTTGACCATGCGCAGCTTTTCCCTCTTCTTCGTGGCTTCAACCCCATGGATTTCTACGTGATCACTCGACTCCTTTTGATCGACTCCTTTTGATCGACTGCTTTTGATCGACTGCTTTTGATTCATAGGGGGCTGGGGGGGGAGGGAGGGGAGGGAGCCCAAACAAGCCTCAAGTCAGGCCTTATTACGGGCTCAATAAGGGCTTAATAAGGGCTCCCTCCCCCTCCCCTCCCTCCCGCCCCCCCATAAGCGCCCTCGCCCCCAGGTTTTGATCAACCCTGCGACTCCCAGCTCCTCGGAGCCAAGGCTCCGAGGAGATCTTGAAGAACTTCCACTTCTGCGGGGACATCTTGCCGAGCTGCTCCATCTTGGTCACCGGCGTCTCCAGTTCCTCGGCGGAAGAAAAAACGCGGCTACGGCGGGGTGATATAATTGGGCGGTAGGCAATGTTAACAAACCACTTGGGGGGCGTTGAAACTGCTGGGGTTGGGCATGATTGGAATTGTGTGTGTGTGTGTGTTACTTTTTTAATGTTAAGTATGTAAATTGAGATGTAATAAATCAAGGGGCTGGTGGGGTTTAGAGGCATAGCTAGGCATTGTAGAACCATGGGAGAACGATGTGTGCAATCATTTTGCCCCTTTATTATTGGGGGGGCGGGAAACGGAGGGCAGGGCGTTGGGGCCTGAGGGGCTTGTCCTTGGCTTGTCCAAGCCCTACAGCCCCTCCTGGAAGTCCATGACAAAAGGAGAGCCTCCCGCTTGTGGGAACCTCTATTTGGAGGCGGACCCCAAGAAAACTCGTATAATCCAATTGCAACCACTCAGATGCCCAGTAACCATGGGAAACAAAGGCATCCGCTTTTGGTTTGACTTTAAAGGGACACGTCCCAAAAAAAACGGAAAAAGGGCGCCACTGGGCAACTGGGATCTGTGACTCGAAACGTAGACAAAACATTGGAACCCTTGCGGAATGGGAACCCACCAAACAAAAACTTGACTAACAGGCGCCGCTAACATGCTCGCAACCCTTGAGTAAAGGGCCATCTCTCCTCAACGGATCTATGCCCATGAAGTGTGTTGCGAACCAGGCACTGCAGGGTTGAAGAGCTAGGTCCTCCGGTAGATAGGTTAGAATAGGGGTACCCGCTTTTTTCTGTAGTCTATTTTAGTAGGGGAAGCCCCCCCCCCCGAAAAAAAAAGGTGAGAAAGGGCACTTCTGGGGGACCTAGCCTAACATGGAACCGCATTCCTGGTTGTTGGACCGTCTGCCTTTTAAAGGGATCCCCCGAAGAGTGAGGAACCTCTCCCGGGAAGAACTTCGCGACCGTTTTCCCCGGCGATCGGTTTGAATTGCCGGCCCTCGACCCCGGATTCATCCACCTGGCGGAAGCCCGGGGTGGTCCAACCGCAAGGAGCCCCCGAAAATGGGGTCGGCGTCCCTTTAAACACGCGCACACACACACATGGGTGTGGGTCAAAATGAAACCACCAAAAACTGCAGGTCTTAGTCCTTGGTTCCATTTGCCAGGGGTTCATTTACCTATTTTTGACCCACAGCCACTTGGGACCTCCACACTAACCGCTCGCCCAGGGGCCGCCACCACCGTGGTGAGATCCTGCGACCGGTTTGCCGTTCTTCCCCTCCCGGCGGCGCCCCCCTTTTTTTGGAGATGTCAGTGTTTCGGTCATCTGATTCACGCCATGTTGGAGAGTACTTGCTCTTCTGTTTAGCATAATCCACAATCTACTCGAGTGCCAAAGCTTACTCTCTGAAATTTGTCCCCGCCGCAAAACAACAATACTCGGTTGCTTTCTGCTCCCCTGCTAAAAGTTTAACTTTTAGTGGTTTAATGGAAAACCCATTAGTTGGCCAAACGTTCAAGTCCTAACATCCAAGCAAAATGCACCAAAGAATACAAGACTGGCGCGCCCCATATGGGCACAAATCTGAATTAGGGACCCTCTGGTGGACATCATTTCTCGGTTGCTTTCTGCTCCCCTGTTAAAAGTTTAACTTTTAGTGGTTTAATGGAAAACACACTAGTTGGCAAAAAGTTAAAGTCCTAACATCCGAGCAACATGCACCAAAGTTTTAGGTGTCTTTTTGTCCACCAACCACTTTCCCCGGGGTTCCATATCTAAACTCATGGCCATATTGCGTCCCTCTGGATTTCGTCCCGCGCTCCTGTCTACCTGGGTACTCCAGGACCAACTCCCACTTCCCCTCGTCGTAGAAAAGCCTGGCATCGCTCAGGGCAGTGGGGCAGAGCCACTCAGCTCTCGCTACTGGCGGTTCCTCAGGGCAAAGCACAACTAGGTCCTGAATAAGGGTACCATTTTTTCCGGTTTGGTCTATTTTAGAAGGGACACTCTCCCCGAAAAAGGGCAACAGGCACTACTGGGGGACCTAGACAAACATTGGACCCCCCAAACAAGCTGCCAGTCACCACAAATTTGGAATGTGGGTTGATCCAAATGTCCATCCAGGGCAGGGTCCAACACAAACATGTTTGGCTCAGATCTGAAAAACGAAAAACACATTTCGGCGTTCACGGCTGAGGGGCAACAATTCCCACAGGAGCCCTAAACCTTCCTTCAGACAACCCCGCCTTGGAGCCACGCTTAGGAAAAGCAGAAGAAAGCACTGAAAACCAAAGCCAAACAGCCGATCTGTCCCTGCCCCCAAGCAAGCCCAAAACGCCTCCCTTGAATCGCACATGGCACATACACCAAGACTCCATGGCCCTTAGAAAATGGGGTCGGTTACCCAACATCAAGGGGTCATGACCCCCTTGTTGAAGGGTCAGAAGGAGACTCAAGGTACAACCAACATCGCATCTTCCCAGCCCTTGCTTGCTTTTTCAGACCCTCCAAGATCTTGAGGAAACAAAAAAGGATTCAGACCCCTCCAAACTCCAAGAGTCCCCAAGACCTTCCACCCGGCTCCCCCCCCTTTCCCCTTTCCGACCCAGCCGGATCCAACCGGCGCCTGTAGCCCAGCGCCTCGTTGAAGTACGAGACGCCGTAGGTCCGCCCGAAGAGAAGCGCCTCGTCGAGACGACCGGGCGGCGGCGATTCTTGGTCGGATGGGAAGGGCCTCAGCTCAACTTTGCGGCGGCTCAAAAAACCCGGAGAAAAATCCACACATGGGTGACTCTGGTAAGTGAAGAAACATGGACCGAGATCTGCGACTTGATTCGCCCCTCCTGGTTGATGTTGAGCCACATCCATTTGGGGACTCGAAAGTGTCGGCGCGAAAAGGATGAAAGGTGAATTTGGACCAAGAGTTTTAGTGGTTGGAGTCGGGGTTGACACCTCCCCCAACCACCAATTGAGCTGGAGTGGCGGCTCTCAAGGAAATGGATGGAGTTGGATGGGAAGCCACAGCTCACTTTTCGGAAACTGGAAAGTGCCGGAACGGGTGAAAGGGGGGTGGTTGGGGGAGAAACCACCCCTGAATTCAGCTTTCGCGGAGGGCCTTTTTGAGTCTTTCTTCTGTTTTGTGGTGTGCTGTGTTTGTTTTTGGGGGCGGCTGCCTCTCAAGGAAAACCTCATGTGACCAGTGGCCAAAAGACGCAGTCCCGACATGGCCGGGGCAAGCGACTGGCAGGTCCGTTTGGAAGGACCCGGCCAGGCAGCCCGCCCTCAACCATCTCAGCACCGCGCTGTCTCGTTCTCGCCGGCTTGGTAGATGGAATAGCCTCTGCGGCAAAGAGCTGTGAATTTTAGCTAGGGACCCTCTTGTTGGACATTGTTTACTGGGCTGCCCTCAGATCCCACGCCAAAAGATTAACTTTTAGTGGGTTAAATAGAAACTACCACAAAACACTAAAAGGCTGAAAAGCTAAGGAACCGGATGGCTGGGAGCCACCCAGTTTACATGGGGAGTTCTATCTCAAAACATGTTTTGAGCTTTCGTACCGAAATTCACAGACCCTCGCCTTCACGGGTTGTTGGTCGGGGATTCTGGGCGGGGGGTGTTCCCCAAAAGTGTTCGAAAATCCAGTAAGGGCCAACCGCTCAGGTGTCGATGGTCATTGTCCACCTCACAAAGGGAAGTTTGAGGATCCCCCTACCAGAGTCCAGTTCTGTTCGGTCCTTTCCCCAAGGATCGCCGCTATGGAACACTGCCCCCCGGAAATGAAATCAACCCGGCGTTCTGATTCATCAACTGGGTTTCCAAAAGCAAGGGCAAATTACTATATGATGTCCAGAAAATCGCGGAATCCTTCGTCCGTGCGTCCACTGTCTCCCGTGGAGAACAACCAAAATCTGCGAGAGATCGTGTGGCCATGCCCAAGACCGCTTTGTCACTTTCAAGGACTTTCCCTCGGCATTGCGGAGCAGTGGCCCTTTTGCCATGTTCACAACTTCCACGTCAGGCACCAGTTGGCATGAAGCCCGATCTCAATCCGAGAACAGCTGCCGCGATTTGGACATGTGCTGATTTTACTTGAAAAACAAACCGCGCCCCGGAAATCGAAATCGGGTGGGCTTCGCTTGGCCTACCCTCACAATATTCCCATTTTTTGCAGGAACCGCCCCCTCCAGCCGGCCATTGTTCTAGGGGTTGATTCCTTGTCCATTCTTTTCAAGCATCGTTCTTTTTGCACAAACCGGGTGGTTCCCCTGGGTTTTTGATGGTTTCCTGAAAAGAAGGATCCCGGGAATGAATGGAAGGTGCCCGTAGAATTATCCACTCACGGTCTCTCGCCTGAGCGTGTGTAGGTCCCCGCAATCTCCGGCACCCCTGCCAGCGTCACCGCCTCGCAGTCGTTCCATGCCTCGCAAGCGGCTTCATAGATTTGATTGAATTCGATTCGAGGAAGAGGAAGAGGGTGTTTTTTCCCCGAAATGACCCCCAAACTTTCAGGAAACCTTTGATTGCTGGTTTGGATTTGGATTTGAACTCCTCAAACCTTGATAAATGGGAACCCACCCCAACCTTCCACACCTCCAAACTTCCAAGCCACCGATCTAAAGCACCAGAGGGAAGCTGAAACTTGGCCAATTCGGATTTCCAAAACGAAATGTTCAGATTTGGCTTCACCCCATATTTGTGCAAAAGACCCCTCTGCAAAATCGGGAAAAGCAATCCACCGCCGGAGAAAACAAAACCAACGGCCGTAAGTTGGGGAAACCACTAGCTGTACCAGCCGCACTATTCTTTTCAAGGATCCTTTTGGGAAAATGAAACGCTCAACTGTGTGTGTGGTTCAAGCTTTTTTAAGCCCCATGGCTGGTCTTCTTTTGGCTTCCCTTCAAAACCGAAAGGGAATCCATCAAAAGCATGTCGCTTCAAACATCACCCCAAAAGGAAATTCATGATATGATATGCCCAAAGGGGTGAAGTTCACCTCTAGCCCTCCAGATTCAGGTACTTTGATATGGGGGATGCCCCAAGGATTGAAAAACAACCATCAACCAAGCTATGTAAACATCCGCCAGGGATCCCCCAAAGCGCGAATGGCTTTCTCCAACAGCAGCTCAAGGAAATCGCCAAGCGAGGTAGAGGTTCCGGGGCAACCAGGGCACGCCCGCAAACCATCAAAAGCCCAGGGGAAACAGCTGGTGTTTGACAAGAACGATACAAGAACGATGGTCAGAATGGGTCTAGGGTAAGCTTCCGACCATTCTTTCCAGGGATCCTTCTTTGCAGGAAACCATCAACAACCCAGGCTAAAATCAGGTGGTTTGAGTTTTGAAAAGAACCAAACCCTAGAATCAAACCCTAGAACAATAGAATCAAACCCTAGAACCCTAGAATCAAACCCTAGAATCAAACCCTAGAATCAAACCCTAGAATCAAACAGAATGGTTGGAATCAAACCTTGGTTGCTTTCTGCTCCCCTGCTAAAAGTTTAACTTTTAGTGGTTTAATTCGGAAAACCCATTAGTTGGCAAAAACAGTTTACAGTCCTAACATCCCTTGGCAAAATGCACCAAAGAAACCCTGCACCTTGACCAGCTCCCCCATGTGGTCGTAGAGGTTGGCCAGCTTGCAGTGAGTGCTCTCATCCTGAGAGCGCTTGGGACACCCGCAGCAAGCGCTCAGCAACAACATCGTTGGGCGTGTTGTTGAGGGTACCTTTTTAGGAAGATCATTTGAGTCATAATCAAAACCCGGTATTAAAATGGTCTACCCAGAACTATGTAAAGAAATAAGAAGGTACTATGTATGGTTGGGATTGTCCCTTACTAACCGTCATCTACCCGGGTTTTGATTGTGGCTCAGTTAACCTGTTAAAAAGGAGAGAGAAAAAACAACGTCCTTTCCTTGGAGAAAGCAACCTGTGTAGCACAAGAGCACCAACCCCTCCAAAAACCCAGGGGAAACAGCGATCGGTTTTTGAAAAGAACGACGGTTGAAAAGAATGGACAAGGAATCAACCCTTGGAAGGATGGGTTTCGTCCAGTGGCTGAAAGGAATATTTGTCAAATTGTTCCCTCAGTTGGCTTCAAAGGGAATGTATCGCTGCTGGACATATGCTCCTGTTTTCCAGGGGGCGAAAACGCAAATGGCGGGTCTCGTTCGTGACAAACGCGTGCACGGGCAACCACCCTCTTATCCCTGGGAAGAATGGAAATGGAAGATACCCTTAGAATGTTGGAGGGTGTTCCCACTAAACTTCCTAGCCCTTGGCTTGGTTGACGTTGGAAGGGGGGCAACAAATTAGATTTTAGCAGTTAAGTGGGGATTTCAACCACTAAACCACAATAAGCAAAAAATGTGAAAAAAAAAAAATTCCCAACGACAACTATGGCTGAGGCAACGTCACACGCCCTCTCAAGCCCTCTCAAGCCAGGGAAGGTAGCCCTCGAATCCTTGGAGCCCCAGAACCAATCCCCTCAAGTGAACAATCCCCACGGAAACCAGAAATGGACACCCCCCACAGAAAAATTAACAGGGGTTCATTAGTAGGGGGTGTTCATTATTAAAACGGTCTACCCGGAACACTGTAAAGAATTCAGGCTGCCCGCAGCTATCCCTGCCCTAACCTTCTGCCCGAATCGGTCTTGAGCAAGTGGCTCTGGAAGAAACGCCATCCTAGCCCGCCCTTTTCTCTGCGGAGTCTCCAGCTGACCCACGCCGCCCCAGTCGATCAACGTCACCGTCTTGCTCTTCGGCTCCCAGAACCTGCGAAAGGCCCACCAGCTGGCTCGCTCTCTAGCCACATTTGAGGAGCTGTCTTTTCTTCTCGGTTGCGAAATCTGCTCCCCTGCTAAAAGTGAATAACTTTTAGTGGTTTAATTCGGAAAACCCATTTGTTGGCAAAAAGTCAAAGTCCTAACGTCCAAGAAAAGACACCAAAGTCTTGGTTGCTGTTGACCCCCTGCAAAAAGCTTAACTTGTTGGGGGTTAGTGGGAAAAAAAAACAACATGATTTCCCCAAAAAGTCCAAGTGTAAAGATCCAATCCAATAGCAGTCAAGTTGTTAGGGACCCCCCAGAATGAGGGGCTTCCTGTTGAAACCACGCCCAAGAAGAGTGCCCAAGAAAAAAGATCAGAACCTCGTGTCACGTGACCCTTGTTTTCCCCCCGACAGAACAATGAACCACAAAACAGTAACCGGGTGCATCTCAAAATTGGGGAACCCCCAAAATGGACTCCTCTTGGTTTCGCTCTGGAGTGTTGAAGAAGTGTACTTGTGTGCATGTACATATTTTTACACACAAGCCTGAAGGACCCCGTTAACACCCATATATCCCGCATGTTCTGCCACAGTTCATGAGTTGTTCAAGTGAGACCAGGTGTCTTCAACGTGCATGTTCTTGGATTTCATGTTTGCATGAAGGTTGTGCTGATGTAGGAAGATTGTGTTGCCAAACTCTTTGTCGGAAGGTTGGTGCCGAACTGTCTGTAGTATGTCGGGTGTGTAAGCCAGTGTGGTGTATAAAAGAGATGCGAGATGACTATGCGCGGGCCAAAGAGTCTTCAAGTCTAGGTCTCATGTGGTTTGGGGGAAGTGGGGGTGACAACTCTCGAGATAAAGGGGGGAGGGGATGAACTTGACGTTCCTGATGTGCGTCAACAACTCCCAACTGATTTGCAAATATCTCCCCAACCGTCTTGTGACCGAAGTATTGGGTGCAGTCTCCGGGACATCTTGGAATTTGGATCTTGTGGGAATTTAGATTGGCGAGGTCCTCCGTTAGAATAAGCCACCGATGCTTTTTTCGGCTTGGTCGATTTTAGTAGGGGAACCCTCCCATCCCCAAATTTTGGGGTGAGAAAGGGCCACCGGGGTACGGGTCAAAATTAAACCACCAGGGGACCGCAGGTTTTGGTCCATGTTTCCATTTACCATGGCTCCATGTAGGGTACCTATTTTTGACCCACAGCCACCACTGGGGGACCCAGTTTCCCATTTCCAGTGGCCCCGAGAAGGACAGCTGGCTGGTCCTTTCACTCAGAAAGCTCTAGACTGGTAAGCGATTCTTTGAACCCACGACCAAGTGACGGAGCGTGTGGCGTGGCCATGTGGAAGTAAAGGAAGCCTTCGGTGGAGGGGTTTGAAAACCAATCCATCTGGGGGGGTCGGGAAATTTGAAAGAAGGGAAACAACATGTGGTAACAGGGGTTGCTCCCATTCGATTTCTTGAAGTTGGCACAGCAATCCGGGGATGTCGCTCGGTCGGGAAAACCAAAGGCCGAGCGTGTCCAGAGACCCATCGGTCACCCCGAACCAGACGACGCAACGTCCACTTCCGTGCCCCCCCGCCCCACCTTTGCCCCTTTACCCCGCTGACGTTCCCAGATCTTAAGGCTTTGACCTATGCTCCAGTCTGGGCAATACTCCATCCTCTCTGCCAAGGGGCCAGTTGCCATTGTGCGGATCCGACTGGAAGAAGCCATGCTTCACCACCATGTGCCCATACACCCTGAAGCTTTTGAGAGCTTACGAAGCTTCCAGGGTTTCATTCCCCTTCACAAGGGTGCTGGTCCCTGAAGAAGCACAACCAGACCTCCAAATTTGAGCGAGAAGTTATAGCATGTCTATGTGCATGCCTTAGTGTCATACGCCTTTCTTGAACGCCGCGCTGCAAACTTCCAGTCTTCCAGTTCCCGGCGGGAGCATGTTTTCTTTCCCGAAGGTCGACATCTTTGGGGAAGGGACTCATCTCTGCAAAAGATTTCATTGGCCAACGTAAGGCAACCCCCACCCTCTCGCCTGAGGTCCCCTGATCAGCTTGCCCTCAAAAAGGGATTGGTGGTTTGGAGGTTAGGACGTGGTTTCCCATGCCTCAAGAACCAGAAATTATCCAAATCCAAAGCGAACCAATTGAGGGTAAGGGCCCTGATCTGGCCAAATGCTGCCCAAACAGACCTTATGCATTGGTTTATCCCGCGAAAACCATGGCCTGGTTTACCCAAAGGGCCTCCCTCCAAGACAAACATGTCTGTCCACCCCCAGAACCACGCGAAACGTGTGTGTGTGTGTGTGGGTGTCCATCTAAAGGGTAGTCTCTAGTATCTGGTACATGTTTGTTGTTTTTGTTGCTATCTACAGGGGTAATTATGGTACATGTCTACCCTTTCCCTTGGCACCCGGAGCAACGGTTCGAGGGTGGTCGAAATTCTCCTCCACTCGCCTTTTTCCGACAAAAAGACAAGCAGTCTAGAAGTAGTCTAGAAGCAATACTACAAGTCAATTGTTCTTTTCTTACGGGACTTTGCCCGAAAAAGAGAAAAGGGACCCCGTGTACTGTTTTTTTGAAGTCGACATTAAGACAAAGCGGCATCAGGATGGCCGAGTAGATGTTGGACTTCCAGTCCACGATTCTCTCCACCTGGCCGTTGCCTCGGCGCTTTATTGGTTGGTCGAGGGTGGTGGCTGTGGCTGAAAAAAGTGGGTTACCCAAAATGACACCCAAAGATAAATGGAACCAAAGATTGGGGGAAATATGTTTGCCACTTTTGGTGGGAAAATGATCGACCCCCTGGTAGTGAAGCATTCCTTGTTGAGGGAGTTGCCAATTTTCTCACAAAAGGTGGCAAAAAGACCCCCCTGGCATTACGAAGGGGGAAATCTTCAGGGAGCTGCCGGTGCTCGGTTTTCCTGGTCGGGCTGCTATGTTTCGGGGGTGGAGGGTTGCAAAGGGTTGAAGTGTTTCAGGTCTTCCTACGGCGGTTTGTAAGTTTGAGGATTCATGGATTGATCGTAAGGTTGCTGTGTTTGTATTGAGGTATCCTGTTTGGGGTGATCCGAAAGGAAACCCGAGGATGTTCTATGGCTGTATCCGTTGACCTTTTTCGGGGGTGGTTTTCCAGGGACAAAGGGAATCGCCCTGATTTAGGAACCCGTTCCCAAGGCCAGGTGTCGGGGACCTTATCGACCCAAACCACATTGCCCAACGACATCGAAACCTGCCCTTTCTCCAATCAAGGAAGTGGACAGAAGGCTTCTTGGAAGATCCTCTTGAAACGGCCCCAAACGTCCACTTCCATTGATGAGCATTGGGTTGCAAAAAATGCCCGCGATTTTGACGGCCACAAACGTCGGACGGCTCTCATGGCGAAGGCTTCCTTTTCGTTAGATTTGCTGGGCTTTGTGGGAAGAAGCCTTTCAACTTAAGGGGGATGCAGGTCTGCCCGGACAAATTGTCCAGGGCCCGAGACATGCCGCTAGTCACACTGTCTTGTTGCTATGGCTCCCCTTGCTATGGCTCACTCACAGTTCTTCTTCCTTTGTAGTCTTTCTCTTTCTGTATCTGTGTGCGTGAATCTCAAAGGCTGTGTTCTACTATACTTCACCAACAAACATGCAAAAACATCGTCGCCGCCGCACCCCGGTTTAGGGCCCTCCAAAACATCGCCCAAAAACCTCGAGCAGACGCCCGAAAACCGCCGTGGGGCAGCCGACGTAGCTCGTTTTCGCGTGCCCAGCGGCTGTCCTCCAAGTAGTTCTTCAGAGGTGTGCCGGCAGCCAAAGACCTCACGCCATAGGTGTCCTTCTTGGGAAAATAAGGAAGGCCCTGGTAGTTGACTGAACCACCAATCGCCCATGTTCAAACCAAATCAGCCAAAGGACACCAAAGACCTCACGCGCTCGTTCCTTTCGCCAACCAGATCATGCTTCGGGCGCGACTGGCGACCGCTTGGCCAGGGTCGAAATGGGATTGGAGGGGTCGCAAAACCCAGGAAACCCCTGGAGAACATCAAAATAGGCGGTACATGGGTGTTCATCCGCCCCATGGCATAGGTTATGAAGTTATGACCCATGGCCAGATGAATGGATTGTTGGGCCCCCCCAATTCCAAGGCCCGGGGGATCCCAGGAGCACTAGTGGGATCCGAGGACGAGAAGTAGATGGCTGTGTGGTCGAAACCCAGCGGCCGAAACCGCCACTGGGTTCTCATTGCAGAAATTGGGCGTGTTCCAAACGGAAGTAGACATACCTGAAAGATACTACGAATTCATAACTGTGGGTCAAAAATAGATGCCGAAATTGGCTTGCCCTGGCAAATGGAGCCAGGGACTAAAACCTGCGGTCCCATGGTAGTTTAATTTTGACCCGCAGCCACATGGCAGGGAAAGCAAGGAATACACCAGAAGAGCGCACAAGAAACATGCAAGGAAAAAAGCAAAAAAACTGCGCGCTCTCGTCGTAAACGCTGAGAAGCGCTTGCCCTAGCCACTCCTCGAAAACGGAAAATGCTGGAAACCCTGGGCGCACCAAGCAAACATAAGACCACAAGCACAACAAGCAAAAACCGCTCGAAAACAAAACAAACACCAAATGACCAAGGTCTTTTTTGCAGTTGCCTTCGAGTTCCAGGAAAGACTAGGCGTGACAGTCATGAAAAAGATGCAACCTTATGAAACTGCTGCTGTCAGCGACCCTTCGAGAACCCGGATTTCAAGCTCAAAGGTTGCACTTCGACCCTAAGATCGAAAGAACTCGGCACTAGAACTGAAAGTAAACCGACCCAGGTCTCTCATCCGAGATCTCCCGTAGCTCTACAGGTCAAGAGCAGACACTCTGATTCTACTCTGATTTCATCATCTTTCAGAGGTTCGCCGCAACCCTCTCTCGCTCCCATGCCGCATCAAGCCCCTGGCTTCAAGCCCTTTGAAGCGCCCCGCGGCGCGCGTGTCGTGTTTTCGCATCTCCCCCCGATCCCGCATGAGTGCAAGACAGGTCGCTGGATGAGAATGTACTTGGAGGATGTCGCTACCTCAATCGGCTGTGGCACAATGCTGGCGGCATGCACGCCAGCAGCACATCTCCTTACATGTTTTCATGGACTCTCCTGAGCGCATAAAACATGCCCTGCCAAACATGGAAGACTACTTTCGTGGAAAGTGTGCACTGCCATTCTTCAAACAGCAGAAAGCAGAGCCTCTGGAAAATCCTGAGACGCGAGCGACGCGAGCAGTTAAGGCGCACCGCAAAAGCCTGAAAGGGAAACTGCCCCTAACTCTTCTTCCAGTTGTAAGGGTAGCTGGAGGGTCCGCAGCTGACAGGGGCTGAATCAAAACCCGCATTGTCTCATGATAATGACTGAATCTGTTTTCAAAGTACCCCCACCATTCTCATAACATAGGCCCCTGCACCCAACCTGCATCGGCCACTGGCCGTTTGCAACCGCGCGCGCATTCGCTCCCAACGCCCAAGCGCTTGCGCTTGTGCTGCGGCCAGGTGCCGCGTTGGGCGTGGTCAGCTTGATGCTGTTCCTGTGCAGCGTGGGCTCGTAGTGGCCTGCCGGCGACTGACTGCAAAAACCGAAAAAAGAGCGACTCCAAGGTTAGACCCAACGGCGTCATCCGGAACAAGGGTCCCAATACCCATCTGCGACCCCAACACGGGTTCGATCCTCATCTCGCACCAGCCCGAACGAAATCAGAAGACTCAGTGACTGAGCCACCGGGTTGCCCGAAGTTGGCGTCTTTTGAGATGCGAAACCGGCGACGCGTGTCCTTTTGCAGGTTGGTTTGAAGGCGGAACCAATCGAAGTGCCGCACCTCGAAAAAGATTTTCGAGGAAACCCGCAATCACTCGAGGGGACCCGAGACCTGATTCCAATGTCTTTACATTTCATACATCCAATGGGCTCCTTGCGGCGCCAAAAGGCACACGAACCTGTCCTCAAGTGAATCACAATCAAAACCGGGTACTAAAATGGTCTACCCAGAACCATGTAAAGAATTAAGAAGGCGGCCGCAGCTATTTATGGTTGGGATTGTCCCTTACTAACCTTCATCTACCCGGGTTTCGATTGTGGTTCAAGTGGCAAACTCCTTCCCTCGCTGGCGGCTTTTGCCGGAAAAAAGACCCAGGGAAGGCCAGAAAGAAGCCGCGCCTGCGTTGATGTTGTCGGTGAACTCTTGCAGCATGACCTTCCTAAAAGCTCAGCGCCGCGCCGGTCAAACCCGGAAACCCCAAAACCCCGAAACCATGGCCTCTGAAAAAGGCCCAAGAAACACCTGGAGTCTCCTTCTGACCCTGAAAAAAAAACAGGGCTCATGATCCGTTTTCTTTTGGGTACTGATCTTATGTTTTAAGGGCCATGGTAGTTCTCAACTTGTCCGGTCCCTCTGGTTTGGTCTTCCCAAAACGTCCAAAAAAGTCGGGGAAAAGGCACAAGCAGTCCCGGACTCGCAGCGGGGCCAAAGGCCTTTCCCCCTCGCCGGTCTCATACAGCGAGATGTGGGAGGCTGTGTCTTTTGTTGCTCGTGATTTATGTGTTGGCCATGGGTCAAAATCCAAATCGAACCCCCAGTGAACATCCCAATCCCCACTAAAATAGACTAAAATGGGTGGTGAATTCACCTACCAACCAAAATGGTACCATTGGTTTTGACCCACAGCCTGTCTTGTTGTTGCGTTTTCCGTGCCTTTGTGTTGTGTGGTTTCGAGTTGATTGGGACGATTCGGCTTAAAGTGACAACGTAGTCCTAGGAACGGAAATCCCACTGAGGGATCTCGCAATGGATATGTTCGACATCCATGCAAAGGACCGTGCTCCTCGTTTCGGCCCGTTTCCGCAACTGCAGGGGCGGACCTGTCTGTGTGAACACGGGCTTGTGCCTGCAGAAAATGGTGCACCATGGCCAGTGGCTACATGCTCGCCCCGATTCCTTGCAAAATGATGGGATGCCCCCCTTTCATACACCAGGGGTGATAAATGAGCTGGGTTCGGGTTGGGGCCGTGAGGGTTGTTCCAAACATAGGCAAATGACCAGAATAAACAGAAACAGAAGAGAACTCAGGGGCGATTAAACCAAACTGGGTTCGAACATGCAAAATGGAAGCAGAAGGGAGAAGGGGAAAGCACCGGAATGAACGGCAACTGCAGGAAAACACGATCAACTCGCCCCCCAACTTCCGCCCTTTGAGACCAAGGCGCCCCTGCAATGTGAACTTTGCCTCTTCCCTGGCAGGGTTTCTTCCAGACCCTCCAACCACATCAAACGCCTCTCCTTACGCTGGGTAGAAATGCGGCTGAACGACCAACCAAAATTTGATTCAGGATCGAACGAAAAATTAACAGGTAGTAGTAGTAGTAGCAGCAGCAGCAGCAGAAGTAGTAGTAGTACTAGTAGTAGTACTAGAAGTAGTAGTAGATGTAGTAGTAGTAATAATAATAATATTATAGTAGTAGTAGTAGTGGTAGTAGTAGTAGTAGTAGTAGTAGCAGTAGTAGTAGTAGTAGTAGTAGAAAAATAGTAGTAGTAGTAGTAGTAGTAGTAGTAGTAGTGGTAGTGGTAGTAGTAGCAGTAGTAGTAATAGTAATATAGTAGTAGTAGTAGTAGTAGTAGTAGTAGTAGTAGTAGTAGTAGTAGTAGTAGTAGTAGTAGTAGGAGTAGTAGCAGCAGTAGTAGTAGCAGTAGTAGTATTAGTAGTCGACTTGCTAACTGGCGCACCTACCAACTTGCTAACTTACCAACTTGCTAACTGGCTAACTTACCAACTTTTTCTGCGCCTCTGCGCCGGATACTGACTTACTAACCGCCCTTTGCTCCAGGCTACTAACTTACTAACTGCCTTCACCCTTACATGGTCTGGATAATTTGTTGTTGATCCTGAATTGGTCCTTGGTTGGTCCAAAAACGAATTTCTTCTTGCCACCTCTCGCTTCTCCCCCCCCCAGAAAAAAATGTGACTTTCCTCTTGGTGTCCCATTAGAGCAACCCCACAAGGCTACCCTGAAACGCACCCAACACTCCCCAAAGCCCACCCAGCATGAGCTCAAAGACCGCGAGACGCGCTCCAATGCCTTCCGTCAGCTGCCTAGGTTGCCTAGGGTTAGCTCCATGAGACAGTGACATCCATATCACCTGAAAACAAAGCCCGCCAAATGTGGGTAACACCTCACTGTGTGCACGTCAGAAGAAAACAAATGTATATCTCTTGTGGAGGATTGGGGGGAGCGAACCTGGGACCGGCAACATACTCCCTACATATCAACATGGATCCCAAAAAGGGTCCCGCAAGAGGAGATTCCTCTAAAATGCTGGGTTCTTGGCCTACATGTTAAACTGTGGGGCGTTTGTTTTTTCTATATACACCCTCCCACCAATTGACATGGAACCTGACAGGGGGATCCTGGAAAAGCATGTTCCTGTTAAAGGGACACCCTGTCCGGTTCCGTTTTGATTGGCGGGAGGGTAAATGACCATCCAAACTAATCCCAGGTGAACAGGACAGCTCGCCCTCGCTCTCTCGCGGCTTTCAGCAACTCCGCACCTGAGGTCAAACCTCAGTTCGAGATCACACGACCCTCCCCCCCATTCAAGGGAGGATTTGAGCAGAAAGCATGAGGCAAAAACCGGAAACCCGGGTGGGAACCAGGTTTTGAGTTTAAAGGTTTTCTACGTGCGGGACCGCAACACCAAAGGTGAGCTGAGTTTACTGCCAAAGGTGACTGCAGCTTGGTCTGGAAAACCAGGTCCCCAGCGAAGCCTTGGTAGAAAGGGGACCACCCGGATACTCTGCCAACCGCGAAGCTCACATGCCCAGTTCTCCACATCTTTCTCAACAGGTTGGAGAACCAACCAACCACCCAACCACCAACCAACCCCACGAAACGATGGGTTAAACAAACAAAAAACGAGGCCGAGGGATACCCTCCCCCGTCCCGGCCACCCTCCCTGTCCCAAAACCGTTCAAACGGCTCGTCGAAGATGGAGGTCTTCATGGGTTCCAGGATCTTCCACATCACTGTGAAGGTTGCATCCTGAGCACGGCAATCCGAGAAAGGCCATTGAGTGCCTATGTTATTCATTTATTGTGTTCAATTGTTTATGAATCTGCTTATTCATGTATCTGGTTCATATAGTGTTTATCTATCTAGTTATTCATTTATTGATATATTCATTTGTATCTATGCTTGTTTCATTAATGTTTCATCATGTATCT